GCCTATCACTGTGTGACAACATGTGTTTAAGCCATCACTTGTGACAACAGTGTTATGCCATCACTGTGTACAACATAGTTTAATGCATCTACTGTGTTGACATACAGTGTTTAATGCCATCACTGTATGTGACAACAGTGTTTAATGCCATCACTGTATGTACAACGTGTTAATGCCATCACTGTTTGACAACATGTTAATGCCTACTGTGTGACAACATGTTTAATCCATCACTGTATGTGACAACAGTGTTTCAATGCCATCACTGTATGTGACAACTAGTATTTATAATGCCATCACGTGTGACACAGTGTTAATGCCATCACTGTGTGACACAGTGTTTAATGCATCACGTGAGTGACAACAGTGTTAATTGCATCACTGTATGTGACACATTTTAATGCCATCACTGTGTGTACAACATGTTTAATGCCAATCACTGTGTGACAACAGTTAATGTCATCACTGTGTTGACACAGTGTTTAATGCCTCACTGTATGTGCCAACAGTGTTTAATCATCACTGTGTGACAACAGTGTTTAATGCCATCACGTGCAACTGTTTATGCCATCACTGTTGACACAGTGTTTAATGCTCACTGATGTGACATCAGTTTTCATGCCATACACTGTATGTGCAACAGTGTTATAATGCCATCACTGTGTGTGACACAGTGTTTAATAGCATCACTGTGTGACAACAGTGTTAATGCATCACTGGTACAACATGTTTAATGCCATCATGTATGTGACAACAGTGTTTAATGCCATCACTGTATGTGACAACAGTGTTTAATGCCATCACTGTAGTGACAACAGTGTTTAATGCCATCACTGTGTGACAACAGTGTTTAATGCTCACTGTGTTACAACAGTGTTACTGCATCACTGTATGTGCACACAGTGTTTAATCATACTGTATGTGACAACAGTGTGTCACTACAAGGAGCAAGGGCTAGTAATTCGGACTTTAAACATTTAGTTTATTAACATTATTAAATCTACACTATCATCATCATCATCAGCAGCAGCAACTTGCTACTCTCGTCACTAGCTCACTATTATCATAGCTACTCTCGTCACTAGCTCACTATCATCATAGCTACTCTCGTCACTAGCTCACTATCATCATAGCTACTGTCGTTACTAGCTCACTATCATCATAGCTACTGTCGTTACTAGTTCACTATCATCATGCTACTGTCTACTAGCTCACTATCATCATAGCTACTGTCGTTACTAGCTCACTATCATCATAGCTACTGTCGTTACTAGTTCACTATCATCATAGCTACTGTCGTTACTAGTTCACTATCATCATAGCTACTGTCGTCACTAGCTCACTATCATAGCTACTGTCGTTACTAGCTCACTATCATCATAGCTACTGTCGTTACTAGTTCACTATCATAGCTACTGTCGTTACTAGCTCACTGTCATCATAGCTACTGTCGTCACTAGTTCACTATCATCATAGCTACTGTCGTTACTAGTTCACTATCATCATAGCTACTGTCGTTACTAGCTCACTATCATCGTAGTTACTGTCGTCACTAGTTCACTATCATCATAGCTACTGTCGTCACCAGTTCACTATCATAGCTACTATCGCTACTAGCTCACTATCATCGTAGTTACTGTCGTCACTAGCTCACTATCATCATAGCTACTGTCGTCACTAGTTCACTATCATCATAGCTACTGTCGTCACTAGCTCACTATCATCATAGCTACTGTCGTCACTAGTTCACTATCATCATAGCTACTGTCGTTACTAGCTCACTATCATTGTAGTTACTGTCGTCACTAGTTCACTATCGTCATAGCTACTGTCGTTACTTTTTCACTATCATAGCTACTGTCGTCACCAGTTCACTATCATAGCTACTATCGCTAATAGCCACTATATCTAGTTACTGTCGTCACTAGTCACTATCTCTAGCTACTGTCGTCAACTTATTCACTATACATAGCTCTGTCGTTTACTGCTCACTATCATCGTAGTTACTTCGTCACTAGCTCACTATCACATAGCTACTGTCGTCCTATTCACTATCATAGCTATGCCGTTACTAGCTCACTATCATCGTAGTTACTCGTCACTAGTTCACTCATCTAGCCACTGTCGTTAACTAGTATCCTATCATCATAGTATGTCTCACCAGTTCACTTCACGTAGTGCTATCGCTACTGCTCACTATCATCGAGTACTGTCTCACTAGTTCACTATCACATAGTACTGTCATCACTAATTTACTATCATGCTACTGTCGTTACAGCTCCTATCATTGTAGTTACTGTCGTCACTAGTTCACTATCATCTGCTACTGTCGTCACTGTTCACCTATCATGCTACTGTCTAACTAGTACATCGGATTACTGCATACTAGTCACTAGTATCATGCACTGTCGTTACTAGCTCACAATCATCATAGCTAACTGTCATCCACTAGTTTACTATCATAGCTACTGTCGTTACTAGCTCACATCACGTGTTACTGTCGTCACTAGTTCACTATCATCATAGCACTGTCGACTGGTTCATATCATAGCTACTGTCCGTATAGCATCTCGTATTACGTCAATACTAGTTCCTATCAATCATAGCTACTGTCGTTACTAGCATCATCGTAGTTACTGGTCGTCACTAGTTCATTCATCATACACTGTCGTTAACTAGCCACTACATCGTGTTTACTGCATACTAGTTCACTATCAGATAGCTACTGTCGTTACTAGCTCACTACATTGTGTTACTGTCGTCACTTTCACTATCAAAGCTACTGTCGCCGTGTTACTATCATAGTACTGCGTTAGTATACCACTACATCGTAGTTACTGTCAATACAGTTCACTCATCATCATAGCTACTGTCGTCTAATCCACATCATCGTAGTTATGTCGTCTAGTTCACTTTCATCATAGCTACATGTCGTTCTAGCCACTATCACGTAGTTACTGTCGTTACTATTACTATCGTCATAGCAATGTCTTTACAAGCTCACTATCATTGTATTACTGTCGTCATAGTTTCACTATCATCATACGATCACAGCCAAAAATGTTAAATCTTCACAGATTTTCACATTCGTTTTATTTCCACAAATGATTTCGTATATCTTGTCATATCAACAAATTTAACTGAAGGAAATTCTACCACATTTAATGCCGACCTGATATGTCTGTTTTTAGATGGCATCGCCCGAGTGCAAAGGTGGATACTTCTGGCATGTTGCAGCTAATTAGCTCTGTCAGTTGCATTTCACTTTTATTCGACTGCGCAATCGAAACAATTTCACTCTGTTAATCTTTTGTCAGCTTGGACCACTGTTAATTATCTTTGTCAGGATGTGTGCACCATCCAGGTATGGGTGCTAACTAGTGGCTGGGGATGTCTGGCATCTTGAGTGAGGAGTGCAATACAGTGCAACTTTCGACACAATCGCACTAAACACAATAATATCAGGGCGCCCAAGAATGTTCAGCATCCCCCTGTCATACATATGGCATGAGAGGATTATTCAATGACCCCTGGATGTCCTTCAAGATGGAGCCGGATAGATTCCTTAAGTCAATCCTGACCAGCCGAACTATGGTTTTCGTACTTGGATTGATGCAATTAGTACAACATTGGTAATTAGGCCCTGATTCACCAAGACCCGTCATGGACCGAACCGCGGTGCTCGCCCTAGGAGCACCCTGAGGTAGACCCTCCAGGTAGTCTGGTAGTGTTACCATGCATCTAGGAACAGTACACACTGTCAGACTCTCTCATGCCTCTGGCTGGCTAACACCATATTAGATATGACTTTTTTGTTCGAGTCTGCTATACCTGCAGTCCAGTGCTCTCATATTCACTCTAACCTCTCTTCACTGTTAGATTTAATTTGTCTCAGAATTCCTGTACAGAGTTGCATATACTTTGCACATACAAGTTCATGGAGGTGTTGAGTTTATAGGTTAAACCAAAGCTTATTCTCCTGTGTATGTTTTATTTCTCACTGCTCTTTCACTGCACTGAATGATGGTACAAAGCGCCACCTGGCACTGCAACCCCATGATGGTGATTATGTTGTTGATGGCACTCCTCCCAGGTCACAGGTCCTACGTCTAGTGTTACCCATTAAAAGGTAAGATTTTTTTAGACCCATGGCACCAAAAGACACTCGAAATTAAGAATCTTTTAGGCCCATGGCACCAAAAAACACTCGAAGTTAAGAATCTTTTAGGCCCATGGCGACCCACTGCACCAGCAGATATTCACTAGTGGTTACACTCTACCACCTGAGTGAGCATCAATTTCAAGTCACTGTTACGACACAAACATAGTGAACGATCAATTCGCCTCACGAAGAATTTCACAAATAAGTTTACATTAACATTTAGTGCTTAATTCCACTGGTCTTCAAGAGGAAAGTTAAATTTTGTCAGGAGAAATGGGAGACTTTCTCCTGGCGTGAGTCTTAGTCATGAAATAACAGCGCACTGGAGCTCTGGTAGTGTGATGACCGCTCACTGGAGCTCTGGTAGTGTGATGACCGCTCACTGGAGCTCTGGTAGTGTGATGACCGCTCACTGGAGCTCTGGTAGTGTGATGACGCACGACTTGACGACTGGAGCTCTGGTAGTGTGATGACCGCGCACTGGAGCTCTGGTAGTGTGATGACCGCGCACTGGAGCTCTGGTAGTGTGATGACCGCTCACTGGAGCTCTGGTAGTGTGATGACCGCGCACTGGAGCTCTGGTCATGTGACTGAGGCATTCCACTGACTTACCCATTCACTCCGGGAAAGAAAAAATATATAATATAATGCTGAAAATAAGTTCCTTCAAAGGAACATATTATCGTGTCCTATGTGTATGATTCCACTAGCATGGTATTTATACACCATGGGGGCGGCAGAGATGGGGGAAGCAACACTATGGGAGCATCATGGGCACTACCATGAGAGTGGCGGAGATAAGGGAAGCAACACTATGGGAGCAGCATGGGATACTTACCGATGGAAGACTTGAGAGCTATGGCAGCTGGTCCAGGACTGGAGAACTCAGCAGCGATGGGTCCTCGACGTTTGGTCGGGGTCCAAGTACCGTTGGTCTGGCCTCCCATCTGCAACACAAAACACAATATTAGCTCGCAATGACCTGAAGATCAGGTTAATTTGTCTTACTGGACAAACACTCAACGTTAAGTGTACAATGAGTTATACATGTGCAACATTTGGGTATCTTTATTCTGGAAACGTTTCGCCAGCCAGTGGCTTCTTCAGTCCAGTGCAGAGAAAGGTGGAAGACGAGGAGGAGTTTAAGGTAATCAGTCCCTTAGCCTGGAGTCGATGTGTTCAGTCCAAGATTGATGGACTGAACACATCGACACCAGGCTGAGGGACTGACAACCTCAAAACTACGTCTTCAAGGGTGATGGACTGATTACAACGTCCTTATATACCTACTGCTTCTGCTGCCACTTCTGTACTCGACTGAAGAAGACTACTGTGTAGGCGAAACGTTTGGAATAAAGGTACCTAACTGTTGCACATGTCTTAACCACGGTAAACAGCTCAGCATACAAGGTGGAAGTCCAGTTAACTCTAACCTTAATGACCCCCTACACCCAAGTATGCAGGAGGTGCTCCCCCCCCCAACACACACACACACACACACACACACACACACACACACACACACACACACACCTCCAGCACACTACCTCACATCATCTACAAACAATGGTGGTGTTGCAGCAGTCAGGTGCTATTCTAGGCATTGCGTGTTGTGTCTGTAATTACCTGTCTGTAGTTAACAAGAGTTGAACAATACTCACTGTCTCTTCTAGTGAATTTGTCATAGATATTCTTCTTGAAAATACTATTACTCCTAATAATAATAATAAAATAAATACATGTAGTCCAAGTATCCAGTTGTGAATAAGGCTGTTCTTAAAACATTAAATAATTGCCCCAGTGATATTAGAGACTGTCATCATCAAGCTGTCATGTAAAAGTAATTACAACTCTCGTTACGTTGAGCTTAATAACTTAACTGATACACTATTTAAGCTGTGTGCTTGGCCAGCTTAAAGCTTTCCAAGCATAACAGTGACTTGTAAACAACAACTCCTCCACCACCACCACTTCACGACGACCACCACTTCACGACGACCACCACCTCCAGCTTAGCAGTTCCCATCCCACGACAGTCACCTCCTCCCCACTACCTGCTATTCTGATTACCTGCCAACCTCACAATTGCAAGGACTTGGGTTCGATTCCCTGGCACGGAGAAACATATGGGCAACTTTCCTTGCACCCCTGCTGCTCCTGCCCACCCCTGCTGCTCCTGCCCACCCCTGCTGCTCCTGCCCACCCCTGCTGCTCCTGCCCACCTAGCAGTACAAAATAGGTACCTGTGTTTTAGCCGACTGTTGTGGGTCGCATCCAGGGAAAAAAGTAAACTCCAGTACCTACTGGAATGTTATAACCTGTGTCAGAACACTCCAGTACCTACTGGAATGATATAACCTGTGTCAGAACACTCCAGTACCTACTGGAGGTATGTTATACCGTGTAGAAGTACTCCAGTACCTACTGGAATGTTATAACCTGTGTCAGAACACTCCAGTACCTACTGGAGGTATTCAGTTATTGGGTAAAAGGTATCTGGGTACCTATATTAATCATAATAAAATGAACTAGCTGGCAACATCAGCGGAAATGCACACACTGGAGGTGTCTTGCCCACCCAACACAAAGATCCCGGGTCACTGGTTTGTGTCAGCATTGTGTAAACATCCTTATTATGTAAACCAGGGAAAGTACAAACGACCACACACACACGCCACACACACACACACACACCACACCACACAACACACACACAACAACACACACAAAGTGATATAGTGGAGGCAGGATCCACACATAGCTTTAAGAAGAGGTATAATAAAGCTCATGGAGCAGAGAGAAAGTGGACCTAGTAGCGACCAGTGAAAAAGCGGGGCCAGGAGCTATGAATCAACCCCTGCAACCACAATTAGACGAGTACACACACACAGGGACGGGGAGTCCCTGTGTGTGTCTCAAAGATCTGTGGAGAGTAACTTATTCTTGTATATTCTTATCACAGATGATGCTAAAATGATGAGAATAAAAACCGGAGAGAGTGAAAGAACTCTGTGTGAAGAAACAGACAAATTTTAATACCTCAAAAATGCATTAGGCAAAGTCAGGGAAGATGGTTCAAGAGTCGCATATTCGGTTATAAAGCAAAAAGATCCTTCAGTAAGTATTACTTCAAACTGGTGCTAGAGTCGAGTGGAATGAACTAGCACACACTAGCTGTATGCTAGGCATCTAGCAACAAGAAGAAGAAGAGGGAATATTAGAAAGATTATTTCAAGAAAATAGTATAGTGGAATGACCTGAACAAGGGCAGTACGAATTAACTATAAAGGAGTCGAAAATATATGGCGATGGGAGCTGACGTAGAATGAGTCAGAATATTTGGAATGTGGTCGAGGAACATTCCACACCATTCTAACAAATATTTCATTGTGCAATAGTTGAAGATTTGAGCAGAAAAGTTAATTTCTCCTGGACTTTGATGGGTCCTTAGGAAAGGATATTACCGTAATAGGCAAATCTTTCCATATTAAACTGGTATGATATAATAAATGTTCTTCGTGAGATAGAGTGATCTTTGTAACCACTAATTATACGATTTCCATCTTGGGCGCTCGCCAGTCACAAGAGTTCCCGCTCTGGCAACCGCTAATCACAAGAGTTCCCGCTCATGCAGCCACCAATCACAAGAGTTCCCGCTCATGCAGCCACCAATCACAAGAGTTCTCGCTCATGCAGCCACCAATCACAAGAGTTCCCGCTCATGGAGCCACCAATTACAAGAGTTCCCGCTCATGCAGCCACCAATCACAAGAGTTCCCGCTCAGGCAACTGACGACTTCAAGCGGGAAGTGTGTGCGTGGTCCAGTGACGTCATTGGGGAAAAAAGAATGGGGTTATGGAGGGGGGAAAAAAGGTGTTGATGAAGGTTGGGCTCATTAATTTTAGTGACAGAGATTGCGGGTTCTCACGGGAAGGAGTATCACCTGAGGCGACCCTCCCTCAGCTCTTGCATCATAAAGCATCACCAACGCTGACTTTACGTTGTAAGATAACCAATAGATGTATTTAAAGTGAAAGGAAGATATATTCTTTATTGATGTCAGAGGGAAAAAATATAACGATAATTCCTTATGGCCCCTGGGACGGTGTGTGTTTGCAAATTATTTTACTAGTTTACAAATGAGTTTCTAGCTTGTATTAAGCACGATAAGGATGGCATTTTCTCTATCTTCGGCCGGGGGGGGGGGAATGGGGAACTTTTTTTGATCTATTAAAAATATCACAAATTCTATACAGTGACGGATTTAAGCAGGAGTCTACTGGCAGGGCTGCAGCTGCTGTTGTCACCTCCCTAGATAACTATAGTAATTATGTTGAATTAGGAATACGAATTAACAACTGGACTTCCACATTACAATCTGAATTGTTTGTCATCCATTATAATGGTAGTGAAGCTTGACTCCTTGATCATTACTCATTCTGTCATCACTGAGGCTCTTGACTCACTTAATAATTAATAACATGTTCATCGTGTAGGCCAGGTATAAATTTAAAAATTAATATACAATTCTTATGGATTCCATCACACACTAAATTTTTCCTTCATGATGAAGTTGATAAATTAGCCAAATAAATTAACTTGAAGGAAGAAATGGAACATAAACATGATGTTTCTGTGTCAAGCATTAGGAATAATATTATGGGATAATTAAATAATGAAGCTGAGAGTTGTAAGAACAGAGAAACCTGAGTAGTCTGTCACTCGCTATGATAACATGAACGTCCTATAATCTTTAATTTGTTTGAAAGAAATGAAAGTGCAAATATATATCCAGATGTACTCTTGTTAACCCTTGTTGATGCCTAGTTCCTGGGCCTTGCACGTGTCCATCCTCCGCCTTCAAACACACTCCTGTCTTGCACCATCCACCTCCACCCCACCAAAATTCAGCCCTCCCCCGCCCCTGTCCTGGTCCAGCATGGACCCCACCACCACCCCCACAATGACCCCCACCACCTGCAGCACAACATTCCGTGAGTTAGTGAGGGGGGGAGGGGCGCCCTGGCGTGATCAGCTGGACGGCCGCCTCACGTAAACACCGCCCACCCACCACCCACAACCCCCACCCACCACCCACAACCCCCACCCTTCACAGAACTAGGTAAACTCTTCACCTGCTTGAAGTATTCAAGTGTTTGGTAAACTATATTTGTCTACCTAATGATGTTGTTTAAGCAAAGAAAAACAAACAAACTCATATAAGTCTGGCATTTCATCTCCTCTCGTGTGGAACTGATCCTGGAAGATGATGCCTCCCATGTGATAGTAACTCCAGCACTCCTGGAACGAAGCTTTTAAAGCTGGTGCAGCTGCTGAAACCGTAGTGGAATGCTTGACGATATCATCATCGCCCTGCTGAAGTCTCCCCAACTCTGGCTGACACCAGTGAAGTCTCCCAACTCTGGCTGACACCAGTGAAGTCTCCCAACTCTGGCTGACACCAGTGAAGTCTCCCAACTCTGGCTGACACCAGTGAAGTCTCCCAACTCTGGCTGACACCAGTGAAGTCTCCCAACTCTGGCTGACACCAGTGAAGTCTCCCAACTCTGGCTGACACATTTCATTACTTGTGTATAAATGATTTAAGAAACACCGACAAGTGATTAAATTGAGACACATGTGAATCCACATTTGGTATCATTATCCTGGAACGTTTCGACATCAGCGCTCTTACAGTCCAGTGATAGAAAAGGCGGAACATGAGAGGAATTGGATAATCAGTCCCCAGCCTGGGTGCAGAGTTGAGTCCACACTCTTGACCCAGTCAGTCTCCAATTGGAACCTAACACATGACTCCGGCTGAGCGACTGATTATCCCAAACTCCTCCATTAATCTCCACCTTCTCTGCACTGGACATGAAGAAGCTCCTGCGTGGCGAAACGTTTCCCAAACTTAATGAGTCCCAAATGTTGCACAGTGTTCCC